TTTGAGTTTTTATTGTTTAAAATTTTTTTAAAGGTAAAAAAATATTTAAAAGTGTAAATTTTTAAGAAAAAAATTTAAATTTATGAATCATGAATAGTATTTAAAAATTGAAGTGTAGTTTGACCCTTAAATTAAAAACCCCGGAAAATGCTCGAAACGACGCCGCTTGCCACCGCACGCAGCTGTAGGGCTATCTATCATAACACGTTGAGACTAGGACAAAATTCTCCTGGACCTGGAGTGGTTCCTTCTGCCTCTTTAATTCATAAAGATTTTCTTGTTGGTAGGATGGTAAGGTGGAGACATGCTTTTTATATTTTGTCTGGTTTCTCTACTTGGTCAATTAGGGTTTACCAAAACTCAATTGAGATGGAAGAAAGCTGGAGTCTCGCCCAAATTATGTACTGTACACTAATATCTTTTTGTTTGATCTTCTTTCTCTGTCTTCTTGGGGTGTTAACCAGATTCCCATACCATACATACTTTAGTTCTTGTTAATGCCAGGACAAAAACTTTTTTTTTTATGGAATGATTCTTGGTTTTTTCATTTTAATGAAATTCTTTTTTTATCAGAAAAAAACATCATTTTAAATTTTTAATGTAGTATTTCTTTTTTTTTTTTTGTTTTTTTATTCCTTCTTTATTAGTTAGTTACAAATTAATAGATGATAGATGACCATCTCATATTTTCCCCCTCACATATATCATGGTGGGGACCCAAAACCCTCTTTACTTTCAAGGTAGGGAGATAGCATTAGAGTCACAAACGGGTCAATAGGTTGGCCCTATATGCTACATTCTTATGAACGGTAGTTGAGTAGCTATCTATTATAAGAGGAAGTGGCTGGATAGTATTCAACTAATGCATACTAAAATGGGTAAATATGTATAGTAAGTTCCAAAAATGTAATTTATCTAAACCTTGTTAGAAGCATTGAATGACCATATATCAATAATGCAACATGCTTGTCAATTCATGAAGTTCCTTGATTAATACGTGATAATTATAGCTATGGTGACATTTTATAGGTAAGATGGGGACTTATGATGCCCATATTGCAAAAGTACAAAATAGAAATGAACATATGATTTTCTATGAAGTGACATGCAATTTTATGACAAGAAATTACGTGGTTTGTGCTTGTGCAGTCTGGTTGCTGTAAGCCCCCAACGGTGTGCCACCATGTCTATAACAATGAGACAGTATGGATCCTAGGAGGAGACTTAGGAGGTGACTTGGTGGGAACTAACCAAGATTGTTCAATATGGAGCAAAGATCAAGAGCGACTATGCTATCAATGTGACTCTTGCAAAGCTGGTGTTCTGGGCAGCGTCGATAAGAGCTGGAGGAAGGTCTCTGTAATCAACATTATAATGCTAGTTCTCCTAGTGATCTTCTATGTGGTTGGATTTGCTGCTTTTAGGAATGACAAGAGGATAGATAATGGTGAACCCCAAGGCGAGGCCAAGATGATAAAGGTTTCACCTTAGCAGGATGCAGCTATAAGAGAAAACAAAGACATGATGCTCAATTTGTGTAGGGTATTTGTTTTAGGGTTTCGTATTTGTTTTTAGGCTTGTTTGTCTAGGGTTTAGTATTTTAATTTTGGTTTGTTTGTTTAGGGTTTAGTATTTGAGTGTTTCTCTGCCCTTCCAGGCAGGTTGTTTGAATTTCACTTTTAGATTTGAGGTTTTGTATATCTGTATGCGATTTTTCTCCTCACAGACTGATCTCTT